TTGGGATCTGCCTATCCTCCCGTTCCTCTCTCTYAGAACACCCCAGGGACGGTTTTTCATGGCTGTAAAGGCAACACCCACCTCTGGCCTGGGGCAGGGGCCTCACTTCGTTGACATCGGGCTCGCTGTTGGGCTGGTGCACCTCCACCATGATGAAATGCTGGTTGGCCACGGCCTGGGGGCTGCCCTTGTCCGGGGGAGGGGGCGCGGGGTGCGGGGGTGGCGGAGGAGGGGATGGGGACGGGGGGCTCTGCAGCCCCTCGGGGGATGGGCTCTTCAACCTGCTGGGGGACTGCACCCTGGGGAAGGGCCCGATGGGGTGCTGGCTGACCACCGAGAGCTGCGCATCCCCCGGGCGGCGGGAGCCGTGCGCSGCCGGAGCGATGGTGGCGTAGATGGCGCTGGGGGCAGAATCCTCGGTGGAGGTGGAGGCCGTGGAGGTGACACTGACCGTGTCCTTGTCGGGGCCGTGGGGAGGGGGAGAGGGGTTCCGGGGGGCCACGAAGAAAAGGCCGGACTGGGAGGACTCGGAGGAGGGGCGCTTGGGCTTGTCCTTCGCTGGGACTCGGGGCTGGGCAGAGGAGGGGTCCAAGCTCTGGGGGACCGATGGAGGAGGAGGAGGAGGAGGAGGTTTAAAGTTGGGCGGTTCGTCCGGGAAGGAGGAGAGGTCATCCTGCCAAAGCAAGAGAAGATTTTAGGACACCGTGCCCAGGCTCAGGGTCAGCGCAGCTTCATCTTCTCCCGCTGACCATGGCTAAGGGAGCTGGTTGTTATAGAAACACCTCCCTGACCCGAAGTGGTTACAGAAACACCTTCCTGACCCGAGCTGGTTACAGAAACACCTTCCTGACCCAGTGTGGTTAAAGAAACAGCTCCCTGACCTTCTGACAACATGGATCTGACTCACAAATGAGCACAGGTACAGAACAAACCACCCAGGCTTTGCTCTGGTTTGCACAAGGCTGCTCCTACCCAGCCAGCCAGAATCCTGCTCCTGAACCCTCCTGGTTCCCTGGGTTCAGAGGAATCTCCTGAACCCTCCAGGTTCCCTGGGTTTAGAGGGATCTCCTAAACCCTGCTGATGTATTGAGCTCAGAGGTGTTTCCCAAACCCTCCTGGTTCCCTGGGTTCAGAGGGATCTCCTAAGCCCTCCTGGTTCTCTGGGTTCAGAGGTGTTTCCCAAATCAACCTGATGAACTGGGCTCAGAGGTGTTTCCTAAACATCGTCCTGGTTCCCTGGTTTCAGAAAAGTCCCCTAAACCCTCCTGGTTCCCCGTTTTCAGAGGGATCTCTGGGCAGTTGATCCAGCAGAGCTGCTGAGGCTCAGGCCCAGCTCAGCACCCCCATTTGGCCCCGTGCTCCCACCCAGCCCCGCACAGTGCCTTACCAGGGACACGTCTGGCAGGGTGTTGATGCTGCTCTGGTGGCAGTCCCCAGCTCCCTCCAGCTCTGACGTGTTCTGAGAGGGCAGAGAAGGAAGAGAAAGCCGTGGCAGAACAGCAGGAGCAGCCAGCACGGCACCAGGGCGGCAGGGAACAGGCAGAGGGGTGCCACTGATCCCCCAAAACCCCTCCCCATTCAAGGCCAGTCTTTCACCCAAGGTTTTTTGCTTCCTCAGAGGTTCCCTGGAGACCTGGGAGCATTGCTGGGGCTCTCCCAAGCTGAGGAATGTGCTCAGGGCATGCTGTGCACCTGATATGTTGGGATGACATAAATGATATCTATGTTCCTCTAGACCCAAATGGGCTCCTCCTGCTCATTTTTTGCTCATTTTTGCCCATTTTTGGCTCATTTTTGGCTCATTTTTTGCTCATTTTCCTGCTCAATTTGGAAGGAAGGGAAAAGCCAGCTCTGAGGGCTGCAGGTTCAATACTTGTTGGTTCTTTTTCCCCTCCAAAGGATGATGGAAAGTTTAAAATTCCCTTCCGCTACAACCCAGAGCAGCTGGGCTCAGATGAAAAGAGAAGCTGTTGCCACTGATTTCCCTTCMCAGGTCAAAAACGTCACCAGGAAATGTCACCCCACAGTTTTGAGGATCTCACAGCTCCAGAGCCCAGAAGGGCTGTGGGAATCCATCAGCTGGGATGGGATCATGGAGAGAGGACAGGGATGCAGCCAAGCAGAGCAAACGGGTGTGGCAAGATATATTCTTTTTCTCTTTCTCTTAAAGGGGTGCTGGTCACCCTGATAAGCTCACTACTATTGTCAAAAGCCTGGGCAAAACCCAAAAATCTATCTAAACTCCCATCTGCATTCGTAACAGTGGGGTCCTGGCTAAGGCAGGGGTGGCAGGATGGGGGCACAGCAGAGCTCAGGGAATTCTCTGCCATGGGGAACATCCCCTGGCCAAAMCCAGGCTCAGCCCAGCCATTCCTGCTGCCCCTCGGAGAAGCTGAGCTTGGCAGCGCTGTGTGGATGGGGCAGGGCACGGTTTGTGTTGAAGTGGCTGTTATTTATTGCAGGGTAAACAGCTGATTAGCTGGAACGCTGCTGCATCTCCATCTCCCCCAGCTGCTGGAGGCTGCTGCTGTGCCTGGGAGATGCTCGCCTCCCAAAATAGACACGGGAGACAATTAAGACCATTAGAGGAGCAGCAAAAACATTGCTGCAAAGTGCTTTTATCCCCGTGGCTTCTGGAGGAGCCCAGAGAATGAGAACACAAAGGAACAGCTTGTTCAGGCAGCGACAGGTGAAGGTTTTGCTTGGGAACCTTCCCCTGGCAAAGGGTGGTTCTGTTGTCAATTAATCCAAAATGAGGGCAGGTGGCTTTTAGAGAGAATCACAGAATTAYGGAATGGTTTGGWTKGGAAGGGAAATTAAAACKCATCAAGTTCCACCTCTTCCACTGTCCCAGGCTGCTCCAAGCCCTGTCCAGCCTGGCCTTGGGCACTGCCAGGGATCCAGGGGCAGCCACAGCTTCTCTGGGGAATGTAACCGTGAGCAGCCAAACTGCCACAAATAAAATTATGTCACAAATAAAGTTATGTCACAAATAAAATGCGAAAAGTCTGCCTRATGGCTCCTAAAATGTGCCAGGGCCATTTCCCCCGACCCTGTGCTCATTACAGGCCGTTTCCCAGCTCTGGCCCACAGCAAGGACCATCCTGTCCTGAGCTGTGTTCCCTCTGTGCCCCACAGCAGCCACCCATGTGCCCCCTGAGCCCAGTGCCAGCTCTGCTCCCCCCCCAGACATGGGCTCTGAGCAGCAGATCTGTCTTCCCCCAAGCTGGGCTCTTTGGGGCCAAAAGCAATTAAGCAGTGACTGCTCTGGGCCATAAAACACCACGGTTTTTAARCCCAGCACATTTTCTTTCAGGAATTGGCAATTTCGGGGCTGTGCCTTCCCGKATTTCCCTTGGAACACTCATGGAAGCCACTGCCCTGAAAAATGAGGAGGCTGCTCCCTCCTGCTGGCTCCCTGCTCCTCTACCCCATCTATTTTCCAGTTCCTTGCAGACACTGGGGCCAGGTGAGGAACATCCAGCCCTCCTCAGAGCAGCTGGGAAATGCTTGTCCTTATCCTAAAACGTCCCCAGCAGGAGTGATGGAGCTGCAGAGCATCTTTCAGACAGGCAGCTTTCCTTTGCAGATTGAAGGGTGGAGGAACTGCCACCTCCCTGGGGAACACAACCCAACCTTTAATTAACCTCCCAGCTCCAAATCAGTCCCTTAATTTCCAGTTACTGCTAACGAGAGCTTCGCAGAGCTGCTCAGCCTGAGTCCTGCAGGGTTTAAATTCTGACCAGCCTGGGGATAAGCCTGGCTTTCCTCCTCTCTTCCCTTCCATCYCTGGCATGCAGCCACAGGGCTGGAGGAGCCCCATGCCCTGGTCCAGGTTTTAGGGGCTCTGAGGGTGAGCAGTGACCCCCATGCAATGGCTTCACTCTGTCTCTRTCCTCACCCTCTGAAAGGATCATTCCCAGCACACAGGAACCCTYCCTGTGGGATATCCCAGGGAGCTGGGAGGAATCCAGAACCTGTGGAACCAACCCAGGGAGGAGAAGGCACCTCTGGAGGGCAGCAGGTGAGGGGAAAGAAAACCAAACCAGCAGGGACAGCAATTCCTTCATCCCAGCATGGATGGGACAGAGGGAATGCTGGGTTTGGAGACACTCAGGAATTCCCAGTGCTCTGCTCAGGTGTGCTGCASCTGATCTCTGCCCTGCAGGGCTCACCTCCAGACCCAGGCTTGCCAGGAGGTGCTCCAAGCATCCTTCACACATTCCCTAATGTGTGAATTTATCCCACAGCAGAGCCTGGGACTCAGGGCAGGGCACACTCACCCTGTTTATTTTTGGGGGAAGTTCACCCCAAAGCCACGGGACAGGCCTGGTCTGTGTCACAGCATTTGGTCACCAAGATCTGTGTCCCACGGCTCGGGGAGCCTGGGATGAACTCCATCTGGGAATGCCACAGCCATCCTCTGCTGGAAAAGGGCCATTCCCACGGGGAAGAGCTCTTGGGGTGGGATCACAGCTGCAGSTCCTCTCTCCCAGCTCTCAGTGCTGTGATTTCCTCCCGAGGAGCAGTGAATGAGCTCCACACGCTGGAGCTTCCCTCAGCCAGGAGCTCTGACCCCCACAGGGGTTCCTGGGGCTCTCCCTGATCCGTGCCCACCCCCTCTGACACCCACAGGGGTTCCTGGGGCTCTCCCCCATCCATGCCCAGCCCCTCTGAAACCCACAGGGGTTCCTGGGGCTCTCCCTCATTGTCCCCTGCCCCTCTGACACCCACAGGGGTTCCTGGGGCTCTCCCTGATCCGTGCCCTGACCCTCTGAAGCCTGGCTCAGCATTTCTCACACACTGACCCCTTGCAATGCAGCACATCCAAGATTTTTGCACACCCATAAGGAAAATTCTCTCCCCCATCCTGAGGATGAGTGCTGGGATGTGAGCAGCCCACTGAGAGAGTGAGGGGTTTTTCAGCCTGGAAAAGGCTCTGCAGAGACCTTTTGGTGGGGCTTCACTGCCTGAAGGGGCTGATGAGAAAGATGGGGATGGATTTTTTTAACAGGGATTGTTGTGATAGCACAAAGAGGGAATGGTTTYAAACTTATACAGGGTCAGGTTAGATGATACAGAAGGAAGATGTGTTTAATGATGAGGTGGGGAGGCCCTGGCACAGGGTGCCCAGAGAAGCTGTGGCTGCCCCTGGATCCCTGGCAGTGCCCAAGGCCAGGCTGGACAGGGCTCTGAGCACAGATATCCCTTCTCACCACAGTGGGGTTGGATTAAATGACCTTTAAAGGTTCCTCTAAGCCAAACCATTCCACAATTCTATGATTCTCTGCTGGCATTGAGCCAGGGTGCCCACACACCTAGCCAGGGACAACACAGCAGCAGGCAGGGCAGCGAGGGCAGTGTGGGCTCTGCTAAGCTCCAACACCCAGGTCCTTCCAAAACCCCGTGGGTGACACGAGGTGGCCGTGCCTGCAGAGGAGCAGAGATGGGTGACACGAGGTGGCTGTGGCCATGGAGGAGGAGCAGAGATGGGTGACACGAGGTGGCTGTGGCCATGGAGGAGCAGAGATGGGTGACACGAGGTGGCCGTGCCCATGGAGGAGCAGAGATGGGTGACACGAGGTGGCCGTGCCCATGGAGTGGCCCCAGCACCCCTGGCCAGCCCGTCCCTCCCCGTGCCCACCCCCAGCCCACCCTGCAGCCCCTACCTCCATCAGGTCTATGAGCCACAGGAGCCGCTCCTGGGGATGTGCCACGGGGACAGGAGAAGGAAACAAGAACAAAAGCCAAACTGTGAGGTCAGGGAGCAAATCCCAGCCTGGCACCACCCTCCTCACCCCAMCCCACCCTCAGGATCCCCCTCCCACTGCACCCAGGGCTGGGTGGGGCTGGAGTGAGCCCCTCCTGGGAAAGGGAGGGGATGGCAGCAGGGGCTGAGGGCAGAGGGAGCAGTTTGGGAKCCCTGCCCCTCATCTCTCTGCTGCTACCCCAGCACCCACCCACCATGAGCTGGCAGTGTTTCAGGAACAAGCACAACCATCACTGTGGAGCATCACCAGTGCCAGGCAGGGCTGGGGACAGGGACGAGGTGCCACCAGCCAGGGAGGCCCCGCAGTGGCACTGAGGGACACGTGCTCTTGAAGGAAGAGCTGCCCACTCCTTTCTCTGTGCCACAGAGCACCCTGGTGTCCCTCCCCGAGCTCTGGGCTCGTGTGCCAGCTGGGGCAGGGTCACTGCTCACACACCAGCCCAGGCAGCCACCCCTGGCACGTGTCACAGGGCTGGTGGCACAGTGTGGCACACCTGGAGCACATGGCACAGCCCCAGGCATGGTGACAGCATGAGAGCAGGGTGTCACGCTCAGCACTGCCATGGGAATTCCCTCAGAATTTTCCCAGCAGCTCCTTGGAGAGCAGAGCAAAACTCACTTTGCTGGTGCTGACCAGAAAGGATCTCACTAAAAAACTCCTGCCCAGAGCAGGTGCTTCCCTATGGGCACTTATGGGACCAGCAGGACCAAAGCACAGCTGGGATGCTCTGACCTCTCCAAATCCTCCTGAGAGCCCCAGGACAGCCCCATCCTCTGTGCCCCATGGGCTGTGCTGGCTGGACCCTCCCCAGCCCCATCYCACCCCCCTGGGCTGCTGTCCTTGCTGCAGAACCAGCACAGAGCCCATTGCTCCCCCTCCTTTCCACTGGGTTTAATTTCCAAGGTTACTAATGCATTTATGATGAAAGGCACTTTATGGCGAGGAAATTAATTCGGGGGCTGTGCGCCTGCACAGTCTGAGGTGATTACAGGGGCTTAATTAGAGGGGGCGTGTGATGGGGGCCTGGCAGGGACGTGGGAGTGCTGCTGCTGCTGCTGCTGGAGAGCGGGCTGGCAATGGGATGCTGCTGCCTGGCCACTGGGGCTCCCACTGGGGTGAGGAACAGGCAGGCAGCATCTTTAGGGAGTGATTTAAAAGCTGAACAGCAGCAGGCACGGCATGGCAGCATCACTGGGATTTCTGTGTGGATGCAAATCCAGCGGATTCCTGGAGCTGGGAAAATGGGATGGAGGGACACGCAGCCCTCGTGCAGGGGAACAGCAGCTCCTCGGTGCCAGGAGCACAGAGATACCCAGAATGTGTCACCGACAAATCACCCAGCAGGCAGGGAAAAATAAAAGCTTTGGGGAAATTAATGGGGGAACTGTGGGGTAAAACACCTTCACAGCACTCCAGGGAGTTGAGTTTGCTGTAGGACAGCCGGGAGCAGGGGTTGAAGGGACAGGATCGGGCAGCAGGGACCTACCCGGGCTGAGCTGACGGTGGTGGCAGTGAAGTGGCTGCTGGAGGATGAGATGGTGTCACTGTAGGACATCATGGAGCAGCAGTCGGTGCCCGGCCCCGCTGGCTGCCGCGCCTTCATGGACTCGATCTCCCTCTTGAGCACCAGGTTGTCGAAGCGGTCCAGGTCCTGCGGGGAGATCACCCCCCGCACCTCGGAGAGCAGCGAGAACTGGSCAGACACACACACAGAGTCAGGATGGAGCTCACACACGTTCCTGGGGACGTGAGGGCCTCCCTCCCACCATGGGAGCAGTGACACTGGGATTTACTGGTGGGTAATGTGGGAGGTTTGATCCTAAATGTCACCAGAAGCTCCTCTGCCACTGAGCACCAGCCATGGTCCCCCAGAATGGCAACGGATCAGGGTGCCCAGAGAAGCTGTGGCTGCCCCTGGATCCCTGGCAGTGCCCAAGGCCAGGCTGGACATTGGGGCTGGGAGCAGCCTGGGACAGTGGGAGGTGTCCCTGCCATGGCAGGGGTGGAATGGGATGGGATTAAGGTCCCTTCCCACCCAAACCATCTTGGGGTCTGTCATGGTTCCATGATAATGTGGATTTGGCTTCCATGCCCTCCCCCTTTCCCTGCAAAGATCACCCAGGAGGCACTGGGACACGCCGTGACAATGCCCATGCGGTGACAATGTCTACACCGTGACAATGTCCATACTGTGACAATGCCCACTGTGACAATGCCCACACTGTGACAATGCCCACACTGTGACAGTACCCACACCATGACAATGCCCACACTGTGACAATGCCCATTGTGACAATGCCCACTCTGTGACAATGCCCACACTGTGACAATGCCCACACCATGACAATGTCCACTGTGACAATGCCCACTGTGACAATACACACACCATGACAATGCCCAGGCTGTGACAGTGCCTCTGCTCAGCCCAGCAGGCCCAAGAACCTGTCCATGTGCCCACCTTGGGTCTCACCTTGGCCTGTGTGTTGAGCAGCTCGAAGAGCGCCATGACCAGAGCATCCACGGAGATGTGGCCCTCCTTGTACTCGTCCAGGTAGTAGCCCATGGTGGCYCGCTCCTGTTCGTTGAGCAGGTGCCGTGCCTGCTCCTCCAGCATCACTCGGGTCTGGTTCACCATGGTGCTCAGGGTCACCTGCGAGCCGGCCAGCCCCCGGTAGAACAAGGGCTGTGGGGACAGGGGACAGGCTGGGGGCTCGGTGCCATGGGAGTGGCACTGGGGAGGAGGGCAGTGCCCTGCTGAGAGACCTGGCCAGTGCAGGAGTGCCCTCTGCTCTGGGCACTGCCCGCCAGCCCACTCTGCCTGCGTGCCAGACCACTGGAAAGGGGATTTTGGGAATGACTGGAGGGAGGTGCCCCCAAGAAGCTGCTCAGTGTCACCACTTGTTTGGGTAAATCCAGAGCCAGGATCGGAGGAGCTGAGCTCTGCTCCCTGGGACAGGGACAGGAGCCAGGGAACGGCTGGAGCTAGGCCAGGGCAGGCTCAGGCTGGAGAGCAGGGAAAGGTTCTTGTGTCCCCAGAGGGTGCTGGCACTGCCCAGGCTCCCCAGGGAATGGTCCCGGCCCCGAGGCTGCCAGAGCTCCAGGAGCGTTTGGACAGCGCTGCCAGGGATGGACAGGGTGGGGCTGTTGGGGGGTCTGGGCAGGGASWGGGGCTGGGCTGGGTGATCCTGGGGGTYCCTCCAGMTCRGGACATTCTGTGATTCTCTGAGTTYGKGCAGCACCAATTGAAAACAAAAACAGCTTTMCAGCCCTTTCCAGCAAGTGCAGAGGCTGCCCCTAAACCTGGCAGTGATTTAATGCCAGGCTGTGCTGCTCCCTGGCAGAGYTGGGGGAACTGGGGCCATGGCAGACAGGCCAGCTCCCCACCCTGAGGAAAAGGCACATCTGCCCCACTGCCAGCTTGAAGCAGACCCTGGTGAAGAAAGAGCCGCTGGCAACCACAGGAGCCCGGGGAGAGACAAGCCTGGCTGGGGATGAAGGGATTTTTCCCTTTGAGAGGGATTTCTGAGGGGAGGTCCTKGCTGCTCCCTCCCAGGCAGAGCTGGCACAGGGATGTGGAGCCAGACACGACCCTGACTATCCCAGGGACAGAGAGGAGCTGGGGAGCACATTTGGCCAGCAGACAGTACAAAGCTGCTATCAGCGAGAGCCACCTGTGAAACCTCCCTGCTTCATTTCCATTTAAAAGCCAAAGAGGTGTGGGAGAAGGTGCTGGCATGGAGCTGTGGGCACAGCACGGGCGAGTCCCTGTGCCTGCTGAGCTCTTCCTCGGGCTGGGAACCATCCCAGCAGCTGCCAGAGACAGCCACCACGTGGAAGGAATGGTGGATGTCAGTGAAAATTCATGTCACCTCTGCAGGGTGGTGAAAGTCCCCACCATCCTTGCCCATGGGTGATCATCGCCCCTTGCCCTTTAAAGTGACCACTGCCAGGCCAGGAGGCTCCAGATGTGCAGCAGAGGTGACACAGGAGAGGGGACAGCCCCTGTGTCCCTCCAGTCTGTGGGGCTGGGAGTAGGAAGGCCCATTAAACCCTCCCCAAAGCAGCACCCCTGCTATAACTGGGAGCACAGATCCCTCCCTCCCACCGAAAATAAAAGTTTTTTTTTCACGGGGAAGGTCTGGGGTGTCTTACCCTGGCTGCCACATCCATGGCGTGGTCACCCAGTGCCCTGTGAGGAGGAGAGGGTCAGTTAGCACTGAGAGCCTGGCACCTGGCACAGCACCTGGCACCTCCTCTCCTTCTGGGACAAAAACCCGAGAGCATCTGGCCTGGGAGAAGGGGAAGGGATGGGAGAAGGGGAAGGGGCAGCACAGTGTCAGCCAGGCCTGCCCCACCCTACAGATCAGAGATGCTCCCCACTACAGAAGCCAGACCCAAGTACTGGGTGGTACATGGGTACATGGGTGCTCCATGGACAAACCGGAGTCCCCACCCACCTTGGGGACTGTGAGCACCCGCAGGGGCCCTGAGCTGACAGAAACCCCCCAGAAATATCCCAAAGGCACGCACCCTGCCGAGCTGAGCAGCGTTTCTCCCAGCTGGGAGCTGGTGATCCAGCGGGTCTCGTCCACGGTGGTGCGGGCGTGGGGCAGGCGCCCGATGTCCTTCACYGTCATGATGAGGTGGCGSGAGGACTTGAGCAGCTTCACCGCCTCGTCGTGGGGGATGCTCAGGAAGCTGCGGCCRTTCACCTCCAGGATCTGGTCTCCCACCTGTGGGATTGGGATGGAGTGAGCCTGGCAAGGCCCCAGGAGTCTCCTGTTGGGAATAGCGCCTTCCTCTCCCAGCAGGGAGGAGCTGCCCAGTATAACCAGTGCCAAACTGGGGGGCACAGCTATTGGAGTGACCTGGGAAATGCTGGTGGGTGAGGACCAGTCTGGGAAGCCTGGAGGAGCCGGTTCAGGATCCCATCTCAGACCAATCTGTCATCCTCCATCAACCAGACCAACCCTAAAGAACATCAAAACCTCCAGCCCCAGTCCCTCCTGCTGCTTTGTGAGCCAGGAACCATCTGTGAGAGCCCCAAACCTCAGATCTCTGCATGCAGCAGGGAGGGAGGCTCACCACAGCCTCCAACTGCACCATCTGAGACAGCTGCATCCTCTCCTCTCCTCTCCTCTCCTCTCCTCTCCTCTCCTCTCCTCTCCTCTCCTCTCCT